TGCACCCGCTCCTTCGAGTCCCATCAAAAGCAATCCCACGATAGCTCCCAAACAAGGTGTGTTCCGAACGCATCGAAAACGTCAGTCACGTCTTCTTACTCCCGAAGACCAGGATCATGCCGTTTCACCAGTGGAGCCAACCGTCGCAGCAGAGGAGGTGCAATACCCGGTCTTGGATGTTGAAGAGGAGAGCGCACCGGTGAGCCCTGCAAGGAGTGAGGGTCAGATGAGTTGGCGGGCTGACACTCCCCCTGCGAAACGAGCTGGCTTGGCACAACGAGATTATGAGATGGAAGAACCCCGACAGGATCATGCTGCAGAACAGGCAGATAAACCTGCCCAATGGGATGACTTCGCTGACATCTGGCAAGAAGAGGCCAGTCGTTCGGTGGTCTCAGTTGAGGAAGAGGAAGCCCCTGTGGAGGAAGAGAAGTCGCTCCGCGATGTCTTCACAGAGGACATTCCCACCAAATCGGCTGCAAGGACCTGGCGTCGTAGAAAGGCGAATGAAGCTCTTTACAACAAGAAAGTGGAGTTACAACGAGGGCCAAGCCCTGCCCAGGCGGAACCTGCAGCCACAGAACAACCCGAAGATGACGAAGACGAAGAAGAACAGGATGAGCAGGATGAGGATGTCGTAACCCCACTGGAAGAAGACAAGCCGATTCAGATTGACGATGAGTCGAGTCCGGCAAGCGAGGCCAGTGATGACACCGGCATGTTCTTCCAGTCGAACATGCCCAACGTCTTCAATCAAAAGCGACCATCCCGTTTCGAACAACGGCGGCAACGAAGACAAGAGAAGGAGAAAATTAGTCTTTCTGAACTTCTAGACCAAGGTGAAAGCTTCGTTCCCGAGTCTTCGCCGCCGCCCATGGCAACAAAGAAGCCATCTCCAACAACAAAGACAAACCCGTTCATTGACACACCACCTCGCTTCCCTGCGCTCATGAGTTCACCAAAGAAGAGCAGTCCTTTGAGGCGAGAACTTCAAAGCGCCGACATCTCAACAAGCTCGGTGCAATTTGAGGAGTCTACGCTGCCAATCGCGCAAAGCTCTCCGTTCCATACCATCGTTGATGGCGATAGCAAAATCTCTGCAGCATCCGACCAACGACAATTCCGTGTAGAGATGGAGGGTAACACAGCTTCCACGATAGTCCGCGTGCGCGAGGAAGCGAATGAATATCTGGATGCCTACGAGCCGCAAGAGCGGACTTTGAACGACCTTACTGAGGTCACTGAGGAACCCAGTAGGATTGACCGCAGTCGACTTCCCTCAAGTCCGCCAAAGATGCAGCAACGGTTCCAGCAGAACTTATTATCTGCCCGCAAGCCTTCGCCGCTATCCCAGGCCTCGCATCAACCCGAAGAGAACCCCGCATCATCACCGCAACAATCGCCCGCGCGTTACAAAGGTCCCCAGGTCGTCGACGAGTCAATCGAAAGTTCCGTCAGCGAGGAGTCGCAAGCAAGCCCAGAAGCAAGCAGCCAACCTGCCACATCTCCACCCCAGCAACCACACCTCCTCGACCGCGTCAAATCTACCCTCACACGACCACCACCGCCATCCCCCCACCCAATCCTCTCCCACCTCCACCCCCTCCCCAAAATCGAACCCTGGACCCGCACCCACTACAAAGCCCTCGACAAACTCTACACAGTCCACCTCAAACACCCCGCCCTCTTCAGCCCCTCCACCATCCCTCCAACCCGTCTCTCAGCCACAAACCACACCCTCCTCCGCCAATTCCTCTCCCAAAACGGAAACCTGCCATACGTCGGCGCCATATTCCACGCCTGGGGCTACCAAATGGAGATGACGGAGGAGTTGGTTGTTATGTGCAGTGTGTTTATGCAATTGCTTACGCTGGAGAATGAAGAGGAGTATTTCGAGGTTACGCAGAGGAGGTTACAAGTGGGCGATTGTGCGCCGGGCAGGATTGGGGAGAGGATTACGGGACAGGAGGTGCTTAGGAGGTGCGCGACTGTTGTTATGGGGGAGAGTGTTAGGAGGGATGAGAGGGAGGGGAGAGCTATTGATAGGAGCTTGGGGTTGGAGGTTGAGTGGCCGGTGGGGAGGCGGTGATTTTGCGATTGGTTGGAAGGGGGTTTTTGGGATTGGGCGTTTTGAGGTTTGGTTGGATGCGCTTATGAATGTTATGATACCTGTTCTTTACTCTTTGGATAAGTGGGGTTGGAGTTTGGGGGATGTTGAGATACCTCTATTTTGCATTTTTGAATCTGATTGAATTTTTCTCAAGATCGTGCTGCTAAGAAGTGAACGAATTCACCAATGCGTGGCTTTGATCAAAGATCTCTTCCAGCACATTATACGTAATGATTCATGTAAAGGTACACGCTGTTGCGTGAGAGTGCAGAGCAACACAGAAACACGCGGTTGGGCAAATTCTATCTAACCGTGCCCATGCAGGTGTATTCCTCCAATACCTGATACTTACTACATCAAATTATACAACTAGATAAAGCTTCGTCGTAAAAGTGTTGTGCAGAACACGTTAAACTTTACTGTTTTCGCCTATCAGGACAGGAAATGTTAAGGTCTAAATGGTGAGGTTACAAACCCAGCATGTGACATTGAAATTCCTCTGCAGGCACAACACGCAGCCAAAAAAAAAAATGGATCCAGCAAGTAATAGACAAGCGTTCTGTCTATTTAGTCTTATCCTTCTAGTAGTGAGAGGAGCAAAAAAAGAAAGGGTTGTAAAGGGCTCAACCGGGATTTGACTAACACATGTTAGTGGTTGATACTTTGGTAATTCGAACACTGGGAACATACACCCGGGACCTCCTGCAGTTTAGAATAGCTTTTCCCAAAGCAGGAATCATGCGACTAGACCATTGAGCCTTTGATTGGTTGTAATTGATGACTAAGAGTTGAAAAAAATGCAATATATACATATAACAGAGATGTTTTAAAAAAAGTGTCGAGTTGGACATCTTCTCGAACCGGCTTTCTGTGGACTCTCCGACACGAGAAGCGAGGTAGCAGAGTGGGGACAGTGGAGCACGTAGTGCATAAGAGGTACAACAGTGATTGGTTTACGTTGAGTAATTGACATTCGATATGTACGTGAAGGATTGGCGGGCATGTTACATGTGCATATATATGATCCTTGCACCACTGTTTATCATAGGCTTTGCAAATGGATTTTTAGTTCTGCATTCATTTTGAAAGTCTATGTTCGGTTTTCCGCTCATACAGAAAGCCTGACCCGTGAGCTGCGACGGCGGCTATACGCGATTGCATTCGAGACACGTAGAAGCTAATTTGCTTACTACTCGCTTTTGATGATGGTACAAAGGGAAATATGCCTGAAGAAGCGAGCATCAACATCTAACAACATCCCATTTACTTCATCTTCGCCTTCTGCCTCTTCTCCTGCAAATACCGCACTGTCTTGGAGAAGCCCGCAGTAAACGGACCCTTCAAAGTTTGCACAGTGGAAGGCCACTTGACTGTCTGATTGATTGCCTTGGTGACCATCTGCGGGACGTCCTTCTCGCCCGCTATCCGCTTATCAAAGTCACCAGCAACCTGCTTCTTCAGGATACCACCGGAAGACTCGTCTTTGTTTGCATCCAGCATCTCCTGATATTCGCGACCTGAGATGCCGAATTTGCCGCGGTATTGGAAGTACACCTTCTCACGGAACTTCTTGGGCAACCGCCTTATCATAGTGGCCCGCCTCTCGGGATCCATATCTTGTGACATCTTCTGGTCGAGCGTCTGGTCTTCGATCCAACCCCTTGTGCGCACCACGGAATCGTCGGCGTAGAGTATGTTTGGTAGTGACAGTATGAGGTCGTGGTAGAGGTATCTGAAGTTCCGTATTTGGTGCGTGACGATGTTGTCAATCTTCTTGGGGTTCTCGCTGCCATATTGCATACGCGGATCGCCCTGATAGCTCAAGCCAGTGATTGTAGAGTATAGTTCCTTCTCGGTGAACGTCTGGGGTAGTAGGAGAAGCGCGCATCGTACGGCTGAGAGGAGGTTACGTTGGTTCGCGACGCGGAGGTTGGGCTCTTCGTGGAGGATCTTGACGGGCTTGTGTAAGCGGCCGGCGAAGTAGAGGGTGTCCCAATCGGTGAGGTCGCGAAGGAGCGTTTCGTAGTTGACAACAGCGTACTTGATCATCGTTCCGTTCACTACAACATATGGATTAAAGTAGGCGCCTGCACCATACTTCTCCTGCACATGGCTGACGACGCCTGAGCCGAGCGAGCCCAGGAAAGAATAGTGGTCTCGGTGCTCGCGCAGATTGAGCGAGTGGAAGTGCTGCGAGAACCGAGGTGTCAAGATAAAGTCTATCATCTTTCCACCGCCCTTCTGCCATTTGAGAATTGCCTCGGGCGCGTTCGGATGCGGTGATTCCGACGGGCGTGAAGCTGTCGCAGCTGACTGAGGGAAGACGCCGGAGCCATAGGCAAACGCATAGGTAACCGGTGGAAATTGCCGGAGTATGCCCCTCAACGATCGCTTGAACTCTTCATTCGTTTGTATCAGCTGGTTCTTCCCAAAGTCGCGTGGCAGCTGCGTGAAGTCGTCCAGCGAGGGAGGCTCATCTTCCCAGTCTGGGGGCAGCGATTGGAATGCATGTGGCTTGTCGGCGGGTACAGTCTTTTCGGAGGAGATGAAGCGGCGATTGACATTAACCAGAGGCCTCCTGCACCACGCTATCCGGAATGCTGGTTGGCGTCGATACATCTTGTACGGAAGTCGATGCCTGAGGTTTCGCAAAGTGAGAGGGTGGATGACGTAAGCGGTTGCTTCCGTAACCAGCTTGGTGGATTTGATGTTGTCTGGTCCCGCCTGCCGCGTAAAGACGCGACTTCCTCTCATCCCACCCATCCCACCACACTCCACACCAGCAACTCTCAATACTGCGTGTAACTTAGGCGCTACTCTTGTCAATTGAATAGAAATCACACAAGAACGCCCAAAAAGAAATCCGGCTACCCCCACAACAGCCAACACCATGGACGCCGCGCTGGCTTCATTCCAGGCGCGTCTCGCGACCTTTGGCGGAGCAGCGACGACCACAAAGACGCGACGCACGAGCAGCAGATCGAAAAAGGCAGGCACAAAGTCCAAAGCCGGCTGGCCATTGGCTTCACCAGCGGCACAAGATCTCGCGTATGCGGGTTTCGTATGGAGGCCGACTACCGCCAGCCCTGACAACGTACAATGCTTCTCCTGCGAGTGCCAGCTCGACGGCTGGGAAGAATCAGACGTCCCCGCATATGAACACGCGACACATTCGCCGAGCTGCGGCTTCGCAGTCATCGCGTGCATTCGCCTGCGTTCTGGCGATCCAGGCAGAACTGAAGAAGACCCGACCTCCGACGCGATGGTCGCGGCGCGTCGCGACACGTTCGGCGACATGTGGCCTCTCGACCCCAACGCTGGCTACCCCTCAGTCGACCAGATGGTCGCCGCGGGATGGTTCTACGACCCCACAGACGAAACTCCCGATGGTGTCACCTGTGCATACTGTGCTCGCGCACTCGACGCCTGGGACATTGGCGATGATCCGATGCAAGAGCATCGTAAACGCTCTCCCGATTGTCTCTTCTTCACATTGTCCGATATCTACAACCCGCCCATCCCCGCGCCAAAGAAGGGCAAGCGCGCTTCAAAAGCCAAGGGTCGCTCAGCACGCTCGTCTACTGCATCCACTGCGAGCAAGAAGGCCACGCGTGGCAAGAAGCATATCGATGACACTACCATGGAGGACAGCGAGCTGTCGGAGATGCCACAACCAGCACCTAAACGTGGCAAGAAACGCACAAGTGACACAATGGACATTACCCAAGTCTCAGAGGTCGTACAACCCGCTCCAAAGCGCGGCAAGAAGCGCATGAGCGACACTATGGAGATCACTGAGATGTCAGAGGTCGCACAGCCAGCACCGAAGCGCGTTCGATCATCAAGCATTGAAAGCTTCCCCAGCGACTTGCCGGGCGGAACACCTAAGAAGACTCCGACTCATACCCAAGATCACGTCGCATCAGACTTCGACATGTCCAGCCTGCCAGGCGACCTGATGGTGGGAACACCTAAGAGGACCCCACCTCCTATGAGCGAGGCAGATGACAACAACGGCTGGGAGCCCGCCAATGTGGACATGCTCTTCGCGTCCCAGGGAGAGGCTCAGGGCCTGATGCAAGACATTCTCATCGACGCCGGTCTTGACAACATCGAGGCCGCTGGCTCATCACCCGAACAAATCTTCGATGCTGTCATGGCAAACCTGACAGACCACGAAAAGTCCATGACCATCGAGCAATGGGTCCTTTACAACGCCAAGCGGGGCGAGGAGAAGTTGCGCATGGCCTGCGAAAGGCAAATCATGGCATTCGAGGCTGAGGGCCAACGCGCCATGACGGTCTTGGAAGCCATTCCTACTATTTGATTTCCCCACGCGTTCGGTGAGGGTTGGAGTATTTCGGAGTTCGGTCGCTTATGATACCCCGGCATATGGACAGGCGTTTGGTTTTGTTGGTTTTTGAGATTGTTTCTGTTGTTGTGTTTTGGTTTTTTGGTTTTGTTGTGGCCGCATCCGCCCTCTTCTCTTTCCCTTGGGCATAAGGTGAACCTCACAGTTGTAGCCGCCCGCAAGGGCTGGCTCCTGTGGGGGGATCTGGTTAGCCTAGGGATGGGGCTGGGATAGGCGAGGCATTTCTTGCTGTGGAGGACGTTTGTATGAGGTTACGATAGTTGTTTGCTTCTGTAACCATGCGGGATAACTTGGCTATCATGCTCGTTGCGCTCCGTGGCTGTGTCATGTTCGTACATTAAGAGGTGTGTTTATACTGTCAAGTTGATTCGTCTGATATCCACTTCGCGCGACAGATTAGGTCACCTGCCAAAGCGCTTTGCCGTGATCAATAAGCGTAACACTCACTGCTTAGTTAGCACATCATGTTGCCTGCATGTTCATGAAACGCAGACCAGTCATGTAAAAGTCCATTGTCTTCATCCTCATCTTGTACAGTACAAAACAGGAAAATACAAGACTAAACAATCCAATCCAATCCAATATCTGAGAGAAAGTGAGCTTCTTCCAGCGCTTTAGGTACCGGCTGTAGTATATCCAATAGCTCGCTGCCCTCTATCGCATCGCTTGTACGTTTCTTGCCGCGTTTGGGTGCCGGTCGTGCCACCTCAGATAGCTCACTGTCCTCCATTGTAGTGTCGTCGATGTACAACCTCTGAGACTTGGGCCATATCCATGGCGTCGCTTGTGCGCGATTTAAGTCCATGACTTTGTTGAAACGACCAGTGATATCTGAAATAAGAAGAATGTCGCAAGCAATAAGATTGCCCAAGAATACAGTGGAAGGATAGCGGAAGAATGATAGAAGAATGGTGAATGAATGCCGAAAGAATGTTGGAGAAATATTAGGAAAACACCCCAAGGAGCCGTCATGGCTGCGTGTTCATGTCAGCTATTTTGTATAGCAAACAGCTAGAGTGCTTGAGAGAGCTCGTACATCATTCCAGATATCTCCGCTCAATCGTCGAGAAGACCATAGCCCGAGTCATCGTTGTGTTGGTATTGGACATGCGAGTCTGCTTAGTCTTAGTGGCGACATTCGAAGGACTGGGATGATTCAGGTGCTGCATAGCATGCCAGTCGGATATTCGCTGCGAAGAGGTGAACTAGCTCCCTTGCTCCCGCTGCCGCGATGACGGAGGAGGAGGAGGAAGAGGAGGAGGAAGGAGAGCTTAAGGTTGCGGTAGTTGCGCAAGAGGAGGGTAGTACCTATTTAAGCTGATTGTCGCGCGGTTGGGGAACATAGGCTTGTGTTCCGCTTGACCAACACACGAGATCCTATCTTGGGTATCTTCGGCCTCGTCAGGCGCAGGTGTGGAAGTAGATGACGGCGGTGTCGGTGGTGGTGGCGGTAGTGGCGGTAGCGAGAAAAAGATGGAGCATGGCGCTGCTCAAGAGGATAGCGAAGAGGAGGACCGAAAGGATAAGTTAAAGCTGGCTGGAAGAATAGGCGAAAAGATAGTCGAAAGAATGCGGAAAGATGCTGGGAACCTTTTTCGTCGTATATCAGCCAGCTGTATACAGGGGTTTGATGGTACCAACTTACAGGAGTACGATATCGATGATCGAGTTGCTGCTGTGGTTGTTGCGACGAGTAGCGCGTCGAGTCTGATGGGTGCGGCGACACGCCACGCTCCGCGCAAAGTGGTCTCGCTGGCAATGACAACCTTCCAAGCCTCTTTGAAGCGCGACAGGTCGATGTCGGCCGTATACGTGTATCGGAAGAGCTCTTGCTCGCCAGCTCAACTTCCGTTCCGGCTCATACGAGTGACAGGGCGGTTGGTGTTGAGGTCGTTTTCGAGGGTACGACCGAGGACTGGGGTGGTAAGACAAGTGTATGAGAGAAAGAGGTCTCTTGCTGCGTGGGGCTGGCAACTCACTGTGTAGCGAAGGTCCGCCTGCGAAGAATATCTGCGTATGAATAAGGTAAGACACTGAAGCCATGCAGGAGTGCGTCGACGACGAAGATGACAGCAATGTGATGAGAGAAGTAAGATAAAGATGCACGAAGGCGTGTAACGATTGAGTGATGATATCTGAACGTCACCCGTGGAGGCTTGAAGGGGTTGGATCGCATGTGGACGTGAACGGACGGAAGGCTATGGTTGAAGTATGTAAACAGACTTTGCTCTAGCCCGAGGCCCTTGCTAGCGTAGTAGGATTAAGTAGGAGGCACGCAGGATATAGTAGTCGCGACGGGTGACTCGAGTAAGAAGAGAAGCAGGCACAGCGTACATTGGATTCGAGCGAAGATGCTATAACGTGACGAAAAAGAGCATAGGTATCATGCGAGGTAAATAACGCGCGGTGCAGCTACAACGCCATCTCACAACATTGTAACATCTAGCAACCGCATATATACATGTCCTCCCCCCTCAGTGAAATCGACCAGAGCCATGGGTCTCATACGTCCCGGTGGGTCGGATAGCCCAGACATTGTCGACCGGATAATCGAAAGGCTGATAGAGAGGCTATTCGAGAAAGTAATTGAAAAGACAGTTGAGTGGGTAGTCAAACGTGTCATTGAAAGAATGGTCGAGAGGATCGCCGAAACGGTGACTGACAAGATTGCTGAAAGAGTGATTCAAAGAACGGAGGAGAGGATGCAGCAGGAATGCTGAGTAGAGATGTTGGCGGTGCTTTGGGGATGGTACTGCGGATATGTCTTGGCAGCATGAACACGCACGCGCAGTCAATCGCAGCTCACACCTATTTGAGAGAACATGCTTTCCAACGCGACTTGACGCGTCTTCACGTGACGATGAGATTTAGGAAGCGATATGAGAAAGACGAATGTTCTTCATTCCACAAATCTCCTCTGCAGGTTCTCCAGAAACCCGCCTCTTTGCTGTTGTGGCTGCTGCTGCGGCTTCGGCACGCTACCACTACGAGCGTGCTTCTGCTGGCCACGCTCCTTGTTCCTCTCCTTCTCTCTATCGAGCTCTCTTTGCTTATCTTCTGCCAACTTGACAAGACCCTCCACGAACTTGGTCCTCGCCTTCTCTTCTGCTGTGCCTTTCCAGACCTGCGCTAGGTCTCTCAGAGCTTGTATGCGCACCTCTGCCTTCTCCATGCCACCATCTGGGTCGCCGGTGATGAGGTCGGCGATCTCGGTGCGCAGGGAGGCAGCGAATTCTTTGCCCTTCTGTTCGCGCGAGGCGCTGTCTGTGCCGGGTTCGGGGGCGGAGACGCTGATGAGGGAGGCTCCTAGAGATACCTCAGATGGCGGTATCGACCAGTGCATGGCCTCACCGAAGACCTTGATGACGGTCTCGAGGCGTGAGCGGACTGTGGTGAGGGTGCGCAGGTCGGAGATGTACTCTGGGGTGGTTTCATCGGGCACCTCCAGTGCTGGCTGTGACGGTTGCTCATCTGGCGCATCTGCCTGTGTCGCAGCAGGGCTCTTAGCATCGTCATCGACCGAATCCGTCTTTATCGCTATGCCGCCTGGTAGGAACTTCTGAACATCGCTCTTTAGCCCGTCTGTCAAGGTCTCGGTGAGCCCAATGGCCTCTCCCCGCAGCACCTCCACCTCGTACGCCAAGCGCCCGCCACTTCGTAGTATGTCATCAGTCAACTGTGTCAGTATCGCCGATAACCGCGTCGTATGCGCATTGAGCTGTGAGAGGAGGTCTTGGGTCTGGGAGGAGAGGTCGGCTAACGAGGCGGCATTGCTTGATTTCGGCCTGGCAGCTAGCGAGAGCGAGGGCAGCGTGGCGTTGAGGTATTCGGCGGCATCGAAGCGCGAGCCCAGAACCGGGGCAAGCGCAGGGTCGGAGACGTGGGCAGACTTTGGCGTCGTCTTTTGTTCCGACACAGCCATTTGGAGGGCGAGAGCAGGGCTGAGGAAGACTGGAGCGGCGGCGGCCGTTCCTGAATCAGTTAAGCCGAACGCTCGGGACCTTTAGATGCGGGAGAGGGAAACTAGGTAATTGTGGGGGAGGGGCCGGCATCTTCCACGTCCTGGGTGCGCCGCGTACGTCTTTGTGTTTGCTATTCATTTTCCCTTTGTTTGAGATGGGATCTATGATATCAGTGGTAATTGCTGAAATGGATTGCATAGCTATCATCCCTGCAGTTGCCCGCCTGCAAGATGCGGGCTGGAGCTTGGACTGAGCCACACTACTCCGTCCCTACCCACTCTTCCCAGGCAACAGGGCCCGTCCTCCACCACCACCATGGACTGACTGCGTTTCACGGATTCTAGTCTGCCAAGAGCCTGTAAGGTAGGGTCGCCAGTCGCTGTTCTTCCTCTCGCTCTTCTGTTTCGTCTCTTTCTCCTCGTCGTCCGTCGTTAGCTGTTCGTGGGCGCGATTACCTAGTTTCCAAGGTTAAGCCGTCCAGCGTTTGCTACCTCACGCCGAATACGGCAGTTCGACGTCACCCGTGGACCCTTATCTAGGCAGATTCCGCCTAATTCACGATCTCCAGCCCTGGAGTGTTCAAAAGATTAACGTCGGCCTCTCCACCGGATTTGCACTACGCCGCAGCCCACTCGCTCAACCACCGATCTCAATCCGCGCCAGCTTTACACGCGCAAACAGCAACATTATAACACGCAAAAACTTCGCGACACCAGCAACCCTTCTCCAACACGCGCGCCAAAATGCCGCGGCGGCAATTCCAAGCCGACCTGCAAAAGGCAGCAGAAGGACTTTCGATTGCGGGCATCTCAAATGTGCGACCTGGCGGTGATGATGGCGAGTTCACCTTCATGTGCCTCGCAGACGGCCAGCAGCTTGAGATCTCAGCGCTTGTTCCAGGTAAGCTACTTGCGGTATATGCACAGCTCGCGACACTAGGGATGGCTACAATTCGTGTCGCATTGTATGATATCATCTTGAGTTACAACACGCGTTGGCTTAGGACGTGTCTGCTTATCAAGGTTTACTATTGTGTATGCAGACACAGGCGCCACGAATGCTAGTCGCCCTGATGGCAAGACCCCTACCACCTGAAACTCCCAGCCTGTCTGCATTACCTCGACGAAACATAGCTAACAGACTGTACAGAAGTATCCGATTACCCTACTGGCCATACATGCATGATCTTCGGCGCCGATAACCTTTCTGCTGGCGTCGCTACTGCCCTTGACACCATCGCTGACGCTACCTACGCAAAGACCGTCTCCCAGATTTTAGAGCTTGTCTCTACCCGACTGGAGTCCACCGACCGGGATGGGGACCAGCAGATGCTCGACTCTCAGGAGTTCGAAGACTTTGACGATGAAGAGGACGAAGAAGACGAGTACTTTCCCGGTGACGACGACATGATGCCGAAGCCGCGACTTGCCACGGACGGTGGTGCTATGTCGGGTGGAGGTTACACAGAAGCTACAGCTGCTTTCCGACAGCGTGTCCGAAATGACCTCTTGATTGCCAAGAGCGAAGGGTTCAAGGTTGGACATCTCGGAGGTTTGATGGATGGTCTAGGATGCTATGTTTCCCTGTCCATTCGCATTTCGAAACTCGGTATCTCAGAAGAGGCTATGCAAGCCTGGCAGGTCGAGCCTTCGGAATACCTTGTCGCGGTCTTTCATTACCCGTCAGGCTACAAGAGCATGGACGACCTGAGGTCCTACGACGCCCACCAAGCTCGACGGAACTTTGGGATCCGCATCGGTGTCTGTACGACGTACAAGCCAACCATGCAAGAGGCTATATCCGCCTTCACAGTCTTGAGCAAAGAGGAGGAGAAGCGACGGGAAGCATCACAACAAGGCGATTCTCAAAACGTCTCTTCAGAGTTATCCAAGGGATTCCGGAATTCGTTTATCTCACGGCCTTTGAACGAGCTATTGGAACAGCGATTTCACATGCTGCTAAAATACCGCTACGGGGGTATGCCATGGCATGGTGCTGAGTCATTCTACAACGATCAAGTGCTTCATGCATCACACTCGGATCACGATGCCTCGCACGACAGGTACTACGACGACGAGCGTGCCGGCAATACATGGCCGAAGATTGTGACCGATGATCACATCACGTCTTCAAATGGTCAAGTGCACTCTCTACCTCTTGTAGGGATGCAATTCGTGCTACGGCATTTCGTTCGATGTACCGAGTTCTGCCTGATCTGTTTCAGTAGAATGCCCGATGACCTACAAGCTATCAAGCCCTACGTCTGTGACAATCCGCTGTGTTTGTACCAGTACATGTCGCTAGGCTTCGGTCCGAGCATCGAGCATGAGATCGTCTCACAACCCAAAGTCGTCGACCTCCTAATCAGCTTCTGCTACGCTAGTGCGCGCGCCAGTAGACTGAGGGACTTTCCAACCGGTCTCAGTTTGGCAGTTCCACCTCCGATAACGAATGAGAAGGATTACATACCTATCAGTACCCACTATCGTTATGTCACCCAAGACCCCGCACAACAGCCTCCGCAAGCCGACAGTACACCTCCAGTAGCTGCGTTGAGTGTGCGATACAACGCGGCCAATTTTGAGATGCTGTTTGAGAACGCAAGGGAAGCTTGTCCTATATCAAAGGGCCAATGGATCGTTATGCGGACAGATGATGAGCCGACCAAAGCTCTGCATTGCCGCGTGGTCGATGCATCTCTGTATCCATCAGTCAAGGTTTCACATCCTGTCGTCCCGTCCATCGAGGGACCGACGGATGCATACGGCATGGCACAGCCAGCTCAGACAAAACCGAAGGTGTCAGCCCCGCGGCCAGTCCCAGAGAACGAGTTCAAGTCCGCAAGCTTCTACATCTACAACACCAACTTCGACGATTTGGCTGACGTCGAGAAGCCACGAGTCATTGCATCACTTCTCGATCTCCTACCGCCTGTGCAAGAAATGAGGAAGTACCTTTTGCGGAAATCGCAGTCTTCTCTGAGCGCTTGGGTTGACCGTCTATCCCCTGCCGTTCTTGGAATACTGCGCTGGGTCATCGCTTCGAATCGAGCTTGCATCCTGCAGGTCGATAACGAAGAGGATGCTGCTAACGGTCGCAAATCGGAGGAGCGTCTGTATGGCATGGCGGGCTGGGCGCAGTTCCGGTTCGCAATGGGTGCTCCTGATAAGGAGCGAATGTTTATCCAGGCAGTACGAGACACTACTAACCGCCTCAGTCTCAAATTCCCAACTTTGTTCGCATGGCATGGCAGCCCTATCCACAACTGGCACACCATCATCCGAGAGGGTCTTCACTTCAAGGAGACCGCTCACGGACGTGCTTTCGGAAATGGCGTTTACCACGCTCCTGATGTCAATACTAGCTTGGGCTATTCTTCGATGTCCTACGGCGCGGCTTGGTCAATGAGCGAGCTGAAGGTTCAACAGACCTTGGCTCTAAACGAGATTGTCAACGCTCCGCAGGAATATGTGAGCCAGACTCCACATCTGGTCGTCGCTCAGCTTGATTGGATCCAGACCCGCTACCTCTTTATAAAGACACGCGCGGATAACGTAACAGCCATAGATCCGGGTAGCAAGCCACTTCTTTGCGTTGATCAGGATCCGATCCGCACGCCTCGTGGTGTGACAGGCGACCTCGTTATCCCGATCCACGCTATTGCTGCTTCTCGGCGTCCCAAGGCGAAGTCTACTGGAGTGAGTTGTGCCCCACATGCTACCGCGCACTTGCTGACAGACGCACAGGGTCACAAGCGGCAGAAGGCTTCTGGGAAGACACAGTACGATCCCATCGAGATTGACGATGATGACGACGCCGCCAGTGTCGCAACCCTTGAAGAAGATCGCATAATCTTTGACGGTGAAGATGAGCACCAGTCTTTCCAAGAGGCTGACCCTCTTCCCACGCCAAACTCAATCAGCGACAAGGGCAAGTCAAAGGTGGCGGCCTCTATAGCGTCATTTTCGTCCAAGATCTTTGGCAAGTCATCATCCAGTGAACCTCTGACCGACTACGAGCCTGGAAAGCTTGACTACGATAAGCTTCCTAAACTTCAGGAGCCTGCATGGGCGACAACTGCTGCTACCAGGCGCCTTATGAGGGACTTCAAGGACCTCGTCAAGATCCAGAACAAGGAACCGATGCATGAGCTAGGTTGGCACATTGACGAGGAGAAGACTGAGAACATCTACCAGTGGATCGTAGAATTGCACTCATTCGACCCCACGCTACCCCTTGCAAAAGACATGAAGTCAAAGAAAGTCAAGAGCGTCGTACTGGAGCTACGATTTGGCAAGGACTATCCCATGAGTCCACCATTCGTCCGTGTCATCCGACCTCGCTTCCTACCCTTCACCATGGGTGGAGGAGGTCACGTCACCGGTGGTGGTGCCATGTGCATGGAGCTTCTCACCAACGATGGCTGGAGCGCTGTTTCTTCCATCGAGTCTGTTCTCCTCCAAGTACGCATGGCCATTTCCAGTCTGGATCCCAAGCCTGCTCGTCTACAACAAGGCCCTCCTGGAGACTACGGTGTCATGGAGGCGGTCGACGCGTATATACGTGCGTGCCAGGTGCATGGATGGACTGTTCCCGCTGGCTTCAAGGAGACGGCTTATGGTGGTGCGGAGAACGCGTCTGCCATGTACTAGGAGATGGGGCTGAGCGCATCTCTCCGTTGACCAATCCATGCTAGGGAGAACGGAACACCGACTCACAGCGGGTAACGCATAAAACAACCCAGAAGTCTGCATTGCGTCAAGGACCCGCCAACGTTCGTTTTTGTTGCCAATACAGACTGCAGGGGTTTGGGCTTATTCTTTCCAGCGGGGTTCGATCGTCGGGCAATACATGTGGAGTTAACGCGACATGGAGCGATACACAACGCTATGAGATCGCAATGAAGTGAGATTTGTTTCAGATTCTTTAGAGGAGTTTCGGTGCATAGCATGGATTACGGAGAACGGCATACGATACCTTAGGGGGTTTCTTTTTCGCGGGTTCTACGCATAGTGGAAAAGTAGCAATCGAGCGCTTCGTCATGGCTTCTTACAGGGTGTGATATGATGTCGTGAAATGATTTTGAGGACGCATCTTCTAGGCTTTTCCTTGTCACGCATTTGGGAGATGCACTGTAGTTCATGCCAACATGAACATGAGCCCAAGCCTAACAATCCCATCCAGAGTAAACCCTAGCGTCCAGCAGTATAGTTCAGAATAGAAAGCCTTTATGATTTTGGGTATCATTAACGTCAAAAAAAATATGGAAGACCACAAGTCTCTACCACCCTACATAGACTCAATCCAACTCCCCACAAGCCAAACACTCGCACAACCCACCAAAGCCGCAGCCCCATACGCCTGCTTCGTCCACCCTTGCTCTTCATCCACTTTCCAAGCCCCCTCCGTACGCGCTCTGTGCGGTACCTCTCCCACACTCTGATCATGACTCTTCGCCAGCTTAACCGCGCTCCCCGCTTCACGTACCCACCCCGTCTCATTCCGCCCCTCAACCTCCACATTCTGCACATTCCCAAAAAAGTCCATAACCCGCCTCTCCCTCGCCGCCCTCTCCCCTCCCTCGAAGAGATCATACCGTATACCGGGGTGGCTATGTATCTTCTCCTCGTCATAGCTATCGAAAAGGTCACCCATGGTCAATTTACTAGTAGGGTCCTTGACCTGGTTTTCTAAAAACTCGAGGTTGTAGTATGTGTAGCGGTCGATGACGGCGACGCCGACGTCGTTGTCGGCGTGGTGGGAATAGGAGGATTGGTCGATTTCGGAGGAGCCGGTCGCGAGGATGTTGGGGGTGTAGAATTTGGAGTACATGGTGTTGGCTTGGCAGGTGTCTATCATGAAGAGGATTTCGTGGTACCTAGGCGGAGTAGTTAGTGAAGTGTTTCGTAGAGGGAGGGAGGGAGGGGGGTTGGTGGTGGTGATGGTGGTGGACGTACCGTTTCTTCTCCCACATCTGGCCAAACGCATCGGCGAGGTCGAAAGCGCTAATCTCCTCTGCGTCTTGGAACTTGAGGAATTCGTTTCCGCCATGCCCGGTCATGTACACGAGGATGTTGCTCCGCTCGTCCGTCATTAACCTCTTGCTGCGTGGCATGTCCTCGCCCACTCTGTCTGTCATCAGTCGGATGAAGTTCTCGACTGTGACCTCGTAGCCCCGGTAGTCCACCTCAATGTTGTCGCCGTATAAGTCTAGGGCTCGGTCGGCGTTGTTGTAGACGGTTCCGGGGAAGGCGTTGCGCGGGTTGCACGCCATGTCGTCAGGCAGCATGAGAATGATTTGCGAATCGGGGATCCCGAGACGCTTGACGGTGCGGTATAGTGAGAGGACATTGGCGAGGTGGCGGTAGTTGAACCAGAAGCGTGATGTTGAGACGAGGACCGCCCAGTTGGATGTGTGTTCGCTGGCGACGAAGGGAGCTGCCAGTAAAGGCAGGAGGGCGGCGGAGAACTTCATTGCGAAGACTGTTTCGATTGTAGATCGGCGGGCAGTTCAGAGGGTTCTTGACGTCGTATTGCGGACCCGCGACGCGCCCCTGTCTAGCAGTTCGCGATGCACGTTGGAGTGTTGGCGCAATCTGACAAATCGGAGATAAGCGTTCACTCCGCCAATAACAGCCGGCTGTCACGTGTGGATCCGCGCACGCTAGCAGATCGCCTTGCATCATCGCGTGCACATGCCCAAGCACGCCATTCCCTGTCAAGACTCCGTTATCTTCCTATCAGGGCCTTCTGACCTCTTTCTTTTCTTCCCGAATGCGCCTTCCTCATCTTCACGCTGGCTGAGTCGATTCAGCTCCAGGATATCTCGAGGATGGCTCCAGACCGGGGATCCGCATCGCTGGAAAACGAAAGAGCAGGGCATGGTGAAGAGGTGGATGGTCATGCGCTTGGTCGCAGTACGACGGGTGCCCGCAGGTACCTGGCTGAGCAGGCAGATCAGCCGCAAAACTTTACGCTGAGGGGTGTTTTGGTGGGCTTGGCGATTGGTGTTGTGATATGTTTTTCCAACATGTACTTTGGGCTGCAGACGGGTTGGGTTTCCGGCATGGCGATGCCTTCTGCTCTGATCGGATTCGCGTACTTCAAGGTCGTTGCCAGGACGCTTAAGTTGCCATTCACCCCGGTGGAGAACGTTTTGGTTCAATCAGTCGCGGGATCGGTCGGCACCATGCCTCTCGGATGTGGATTCGTTGGTGTAATCCCTGCGTTGAACTACCTGTTGACACCCGAAGAGAATGGACCACTGGATATCAGTCTGTGGAAACTGATAGTGTGGTCTGTTGGCATCTGCTTCTTTGGAGTAGTGTTTGCAGTGCCTCTGCGGAAAGAGATGATCATCAGAGAGAAGCTGAAGTTCCCTAGTGGTACTGCGACTGCGCTTCTAATCAGAGTGCTACACGGGGATGAGAAATCGAAGACGATGATGGCCCGTGAAGGAGTCCAGGCCGGGGACGATCGGTCCGGCGATGGAGAGACACAGGGCCTGTTGCAAGGTTCAAGCGCGCAGCGAGAAGAGCATGACCTCAGGCCATCCATGGACGACAGCATGAAGGATCCAGATCAAGAGCTCGGAGAAGACGGAGACTGGAGATCGAAGATCAGGCTATTGCTGATCTCGTTCGGAGGATCCGCGCTATATACTGTCGTATCGTACTTCCTCCCGCAGCTTCACGACATACCCGTCTTCGGCCTTTCTTTGGCGCAGAACTGGCTCTGGACTCTGAACCCTTCACCTGCATATGTTGGACAAGGCATCATCATGGGTCCTGCTACTACACTACACATGCTACTAGGTGCAATCATAGGCTGGGGTATTCTCTCGCCTCTCGCAAAGCACAAGGAGTGGGCACCAGGGCCAGTATCAGACTGGACCAACGGCTCCAAAGGCTGGATCGTCTGGATTTCTCTCGCCATCATGTTAGCAGACTCCCTAGTCAGTTTGGGATGGCTTCTTCTACGCCCCGTTGTCACGATTGCCAAAGCCTACTACCCCGCCGCGAAAGAAAACTTCCAGTCGCATACCTGGAAGGAGATCTTTACGCTCAACATCACGTCTAAGCCGCAATATACTCAGCTCAGCGATGGTACGTCCGTCAATCCATTGGAAGCGATTAAGCAGCACCTGGCTGAAGGCAACGAGCCTGACGCGCCGCCGGAGCACCTCGTCTCGAACCGCACTACCATCATCGGTCTTATCGCATCACTGGTCCTTTGCGTTATCGCGGTCCACGTGTCGTTCCCCAACCTCATCCCCTTCCGCCTTACGTTGTTATCGCTGGTACTGGCGCTCCTTCTGTCCGTCATGGGCGTACGCGCACTTGGCGAAACAGATCTCAACCCCGTCTCTGGTATCTCGAAGCTCACACAACTCGTCTTCGCGCTAGTCACTCCGACTACGGGTCCTGGCGCCAAGAACGCCGTCATCATCAACCTTGTCGCGGGCGCCATCTCTGAGTCCGCGGCGCTACAAGCAGGCGATCTATTGCAGGATCTCAAGTGCGGCCATCTTCTCGGCGCTGCGCCGAATGCGCAGTTCTGGGGTCAGATGATTGGGTCTGCAGTTGGCGCGGTGTTGTCTGCTGTCGTATACAAGCTCTACACTAACGTATACACCATTCCTGGTGGCCTGTTCGAGGTGCCTACGGGATACGTATGGGTCTTCACTGCGCGGTTAGTGACAGGGAAGGGCCTACCACCAATGGTAAAGGAATGGGCTAGTGGAGCAGCGGTCATCTTCGCCGTGGGTACGATGGTCAGAGTATGGGGTAACAACAGAAAGCAGAGGGGTCTTGGTGGGTGGTGGATTGACTTTGTGCCTGGTGGTATCGCTGTCGCTGTCGGTACGCTTGTCGCCCTTCTACTTCTCATATCCCATAAACTAACTCATCGCGTAGGCATGTACAACACGCCTTCTTTCACGTTGGCGCGTACAATTGGCGGCCTGCTCAGTCTATGGTGGCGGCGCTGGAAAGGTCGAAGCGAGACGCCAATCATCGTGCTTGCGAGTGGGTTGATTCTCGGCGAAGGACTGTTCAGTATCGTGAACTTGTTGCTGGCGAGTCTCAAGGTACCTCATTTGTAAGGCGCGTCTCAACCATGTCAAATTAGCTGGTGCGTGACGTAGCCTGGTGTCTCTTAACAGATTCTGCATAGCTAAGTGAATATGTCCCATTGTCATGTCCTCTTCAACGTTCTGTGTTTCATGAGTCTCCATTGCTGGGGGCCGCGCATGATGAAGCCTAGAGTCCTTCGACACCTTCTGCATGGGCAAGTGAGTATGCTACATCACCATGTCATTCTCAATGTCCTTTATGTTCTAACTATCCACTGCTGTGGTTCGCACTAACATCCTCCTCGCTCTGTTGTTTACTCACCTCCACCGCCTGGGGTCGAGATGGGTTACTCCCCGCTGTATCGTCATCTCTTGTCCGTCAATCCATAATGTACCGACAGCCTCCTGTCTGAGGTCCGTGTTTGCCGGTGCGTCATACTTTCATGTTCGCACTCACTTTTCACAACACTGCGTTTGCACTCTCCTCGACCCATATCTCCCCACAACAAACTCACCCACGACTTGCGATATGTCTACATATTATATTTAATTGAGCGATATTCCATCACAACACGACTCCGAATGGCCTAATAATCCCTGGATGCGTCTCCTGGGTTGACCTTGAGAATACCGTTGATAACAGCCATTTCGGTGAGTGAGTTCGATCCTCATAGTCTACCGCAGTGTTGTGATTATTTGTTTTTGCTCTTTTTTGCTCACTTTGATGTCTTTCACTCGCCTTCACTCAGACTTGGGGATGGCGTCATTTTTGCTCTTACTTAATCCAGTACTAGTGGGTAAGTATACGTTGATTGTAGTCGCAGTGAGTGTGGAAATCCGGCGTGAATATCAAGTGAATGTGAGCGTGAAGGGGAATTCACTACTCTCCTTCACTGCAAGACTTTTACGCACTGGAGCCTAGGTCATGTAAAACTTTCTTCTGGTCGTAATTCTGCTTCCTTTAACCACCCACATACAATCAAGCTATCATCACTTTAAAGCTTTTTTGTATACATCATGCCTACATTCTCCGAGCTCACCCGCACCGAGAAGCGCGACATGATTCGCGGCGAGCCCTTCGACGGTCCGCAAGTCACCATGGAGCCCAGGAGCGTACGTGACCTCCTCGATAAGCTCGACAGCATCCCCAACAACAAGTTGGGCACTACACACCCCGCCGCCGCCTCCCTCGCCCTCCTCGAAGAGAACTGGGGCGTCGACATGACCTCCTTCCCCCCTCCCCCTCCCATGTACGGTGGACGTACATTCCGTCCGGCCGGTGACGCGGCGACTTGGGACTTGCGCCTGTTGGCCACTCTGGCAGTCTTGTCGGAGTTTACGCACGGCCAGGGCGACTACATGGGCAGCCAGATCAATTCGGCGGTAGAATTGAGGAACATCAACAAGAGGTTCAAGAAGGACCTTGACTTGGTGACTACGGTCGATGTGGTGAGGGTGATTCGCGATCTGCTGCATCCCCTTGAGGTAAGTTCTCTTTTGCTTGTGAAGATATTTTGATTGCAAACTACAAATGCTAACGAAATATAGATGAACGAAGAAGATGTCTTGGCGACAAGGAAGCGCAAGAACGAGTACAACGGCCGCCGCCAGTCCGAGCGGAAGAACATGAAGGCCACCGAGCAGGCCATAGACACCGACATGCCGGTTGGGGGTGAGGCGATGGAGAGGGTTGAGAAGAAGTTGAGGAAGACAAGGCTTCCTGACAAGGTCGAGTCTGACTCTGAGGAGGAGATGTTGGCTCCTGGAGACCGCATGGAGTAGATAGTTGCGGCGGGGTGAGTGGTTGTCGTCGTCTCGCATCCTGATGACGTTGGACTTCGCGCTGTGAAAGAACAGCCGGGCAGATACCAATACAGTACAGTACCACCATGAGTCGATTATCCTAGTCGAATGTCGACCTCTTCCGTGTCTGCAGCATCCCATTCATCCTTCCACACGTGTCCTATAGCTTTCCGGTAAGCTATCCCATCTTCCCACTCGATCCAAAGAACGTCGTAAGACATGAACTGCCATTTGGATGCTGGTGTATAGATCTCACAAGCGAAGTGATTGAAGTCAGGGAAACACTCCCGAGGACAGGTCCATTGGAAGACCTCTCCTTGGTTAAGGTCACGCAGCTTAGCATGTTCAGTACACACAGGCCTACCCACGCTGATGCAGATGAGTTCAACATCGTGTTGAGGTAACTGAAGAGCATTGAGCGAGATGTCGATATCTAAGAGACCGATCATTTGACCTTCAGGACCTGTCAGGATAGGCGTTTCTTCTCTCAGGTCGTCGCGATGGTGCTCGGATAAAGAAGCAATAAGCCGCCGAGTCCTGAACTCTAGAATAGTAGAATGAACGCATCCAGCTGTCAAGCTTTGTAACTCATCTTCTCG